AGAAGCATGGTCGAGGCTGTTTCTCCAAGTCAAAGCTCTGTTGGCACCAGATGACACATACAGAAGAAGCCACACACTTATAGGAAATGTGTGCAAGGTTTTCTCTATAAGTCCCATCTCATTACAAACCAGAGGACATGTTCAGGGGCAAGAACTTGCATGGCCTGAAGGGTGGCCAAGACTTTATTCCAAAATCATCTTCCTTATATACCACTCGGGGCAAGCCTCACTGGCAGTGAGAGTGGCTCACAGGATTGATCTACAAGCAAGACTTCACTACACACCTGTAAACTCTCTTGGAATAAAGTTATGTTTACAGTGAGACTGGTCCAGGCTTTAGATGAAAGTCAGACCTTAGCAGACACGCCCTGAGGAGAAGTCTTGGGTATTTAGTAGTGCAGGCTGTAACTGAAGACACTCTGTATACACCAAACAGAAGCTCTAAACGTGCAAGAAGATTGAACAGAGTTTTGAAACAGGCACACTTCATATCCACCAGAGAAGAGCTATTTGAGGGATCAAGCATTGGTGGGATCTTTCAGGAGGTGCTGTAATAAAGTAAGAGCTATCTCCTCTCACACTTTTTATGGTCAAAGTATAAGCACTTATAAAATCATACTTACATGTAACAGGATACAGCCAACATGTTTACAATTAGAAATGCATTGTCCCCAGTTATAGTTTACAAGTGAACAGAGTATTATTTCATGCACAGGTACAAGGAAGAGATTTCCTAAACAGTTTCAGTCCTGGTTTCTGCAACTGGTCATGTGGTTGTACTAGTATTTAGATCTACCTTCTACCACTGCCCACTTGTTATTTCTTTGGCGCTTATGAAGTACCTCAGCTGATCATGGTTTTTTGCCTGGTAGAGCAACGCAGCTTCCATTCTTGAATGGTCTGAGCCATCCTATCAGTAATGGACTGCTGTAGTTTCCCATATTTAATCACAGGGCATTGTAGTACTAGAAGACAACCTATTGTTGTTGTTGATATGTGTCTCCTGCAAACTCTATGCACAATACCTCTGAGCTTTGCCCTACCCTGAGCCAATATTACTGTCTCTAACACATCTACCCTCATAGTCAATCCATTTTACCTGGGAGTCTTTCTCTCTTGCACTGTATCTCCATCCTTCCAAGCATGATAACCTTCTCCAAACAACTGGTCCCTCTTGGTAACATGTCCAAATTATGTGAGATGGAGCTTCAGAATCTTTGCCTCCAAGAAGCAGTTCTATTTCACCCTCTCCAGGAGAGACCTTTTTGTTCTCTTAGCAGCCCATGGTATGTTCAATACTGTTCTCCAGCAAAACAACTCAAAAGCATTGGCTCTTCTTCTATCACCCTTAGTCATTGTCCAGCTCTCTGATGTATAGCAAGTAATCGCAAAGACCATGGCTTGGATCAGGCACACCTTAGTCTCTAGACTGACATCACTGCTCTTCAGTACTCTAGAGCGGTCCCTGGCAGCAGATTTTCCTAAATGCAATTCGTCTTTTGACTTCCTGACTGCTGGTACAAAGAATGTTGACTGTGGAACTAAGCAAGATAAAACTGTCAAGAATCTCAATTTCTTCTCAATTTATGATTACTGCCAACTGGCCCAGTAGTGAGAATCTTTGTTTTCTGGATGTTGTGTCTTCAATCCATATTGAAGACTACAGTCCTTGACCATCTGCAGCAAATACCTCAGGTCCTCCTCAATTTCAGCAAGCGAAGTGTGTCATCTGCATAATGCAGGTTGTTGATGAGTCTTCCTCAGATCCTAATGCCACCTTCTTCATCACAGATTCTAGCTTTCTGGATGTTCTGTTCACCATATCATAAATCGAAATGACTTAAGGAGTCTTTGAATCCCAAATGTATTCTTTTTTATCGCCATTTATGAAATATCAATCCAGTTTCCTCTTGAGAATATGGATTAATCAATCTGAAAATAGAGAATCATACACTTCTTTGTTTCTGAGCAGCTCAAAGGGGCAGGTAGCATCCTTAACTTCCAGTTTAGTGGAATCAAGCTGTGTCTCCAGCAGGAAGCATTCTTCCTTTTGGAAATCAAGAGTTTTAAATTCACAGAGCTTTGGGTTACAAGGACAAAAAAGCAGTAATTCCATGAGTAGGTCACTGGAGTAATGAGTTGTGCCCTTTCTGCTCTTTGGTTTCTGGGTCTGTTAATCCTGGCTGTTGGAGAAAGAGCTCCACTTACTGGATGCTGGTTAAGGTTACACACGCTTCATGAAGGACATTGCCACAACCCTGCAAAGTGTTGTCACATAGCTGACATTCTAATTGTGTATTTTTTGAAAATTAGAAAGTTTATAAATCATTGATTTTTCATTCATGGGTATTTTGTTTTACAACATCACAGTTTTGTGCAATTAATGAATTATAATATCTGATCAAACTCTTATTGTGTATTGACTTTCTTTTCACCAAGCTTATCCATTTATTAATTTTCGCTCCTCTCTCTCCCTTTACATCCCTTTTAAATCCCCTAAGGCAGATTCTATGTGTTAACTTTTCCTTGGGTTTATAAGGGACGTTACAGCAGAGTTGCCCTTTTGTGACTCACTCACTACAAGTTGTTGTTAGGTGCTGAGTACAATTCATAGCAACCCTATGAATAAAAGATATGAACTCTGTTTATTCTGTGCCATTTTCACACTTCCTGACACACAAGAGCCCACAAGAGCAGCAGGCACCTTGTCTATTCACCTAGCTGAGGGTCTCCCTCTCCTTTGCTCACCTTTTACCCCTCCCAGCATCATGTCCTTCTCCAAGGAAAAACCCTCCTAGTAACATGCCTGAAGTATGTGACACAAAGCATTCTTGCCTCCAAAGAGCACTCCGGCTGCACTCTCTCCAAGACATATCTGTTCTTTTGGCCATCCAGGGGATATTCAGTGCTCTTCTTCAACACCACAGCTCACTGTCCAGCTTTCAGATGCATAGCAAGTGATCAAAAAGATTATGGCCTGAATGAGATGCATCTTAGTCCTCAAACTGACATCATTACTCAGTAAATTGGAGGGGTCCCTAATTATAGATTTTCCCAGTGCAGTGGGTCTCCTTATTTCCTGCTTGCCTGTACCATGGGTGTTAATTGTGAATCCAACACTGAAACAGAGGAGGGAGAAAACTGTTTAAAAGAGATATGTGATTAGGTATTTCTGTCATCACAGGAGTCTAGAGCGATGGCTCCATGGTGGAGGGGACCTGGGGGAGGGTTTGTAAAACAATGAAAGAATCTTTTCTTTTACTTTTCCATAATTTTTGACTCATGTACTTATAACTTGTTAGTTAAATTTGTGTCTTCTAGGTTGCAACCCCCCCACGATACATCTTCAAGGATATGAACATGTACGGCTAAGCACAATTGATAACAGTGCATCTAAATTCCAAAATCAATCTCCATAATAGTCTATGTGTTTCCTACTGCCAAAGGGGCCCTTTAGAGTAGTGAGAGAAGATCTTTACCCTGAAACCCACAACGTCCCTTTTCAGCAGGAAGTAGCTAAGAGAATACGCCATCCCCTTTTCCTTATGAATCAGGGTGAAGTCTCTCTCAGGGAGGAGTGATAGGGAATGGGAAAGGACACACTGACAAAGGAGATTAAACAGAACTGACTTTGACAAGCACTGTGGCAATTGGACAATTAAAACAGACATTCGGATGGCAGGGAAGAAGAACAAACTGGGGAGGAGGGTGGAGAGAATGGTGCGGCAATGAAGGAGTGAAAGCCCAGAATCCCTGTGAATGTTCATTGAAACTAATAAAATTTAATAATAATAATAATAAATCCACCTTATCGAGTTTGCCTCCCCAGCCTGCAATCTATAGTTGAGCATCACCCTGTTCTATTGACATAATAAAAGGATCTCTGACCTTAAAAAAAAAAAATAATAATAATTGTGAATCCAAGCAAGGTGAAGCTTCTGACAGTTTCAATCTCCACTCTATCCATCAAAATACTGTCTCTATCAGTGTAGTGGTAAGAATCTTCATTTTTCTAACATAGAGATGCAGTCCATACTGAAAGTTGCATTCCTCGATAGTATGCAACAAGAGTGTCAAGTATAAGTTGTTGTTATAAAATCATCCATGTTGTGAAACTCTTCATGGATTCTTGATAGTTCTTTAGTGATGAATAATACCCAGAAGCTGTGTTTCTCTGGGGGTTCAAAACCACTAGTACCACCACCATGCTACAAAGATAAGCAGTCTCCTCCTTGGCAATTTACAGCCTTAGTGTCAGAATCGACTCAATAGCATTGAGTTTTAATGTTCAATGATGTGAATATATATATAGTAGTTTCTGTAGCCATACATCTGTTCCTGAATATCTGAGTTGTTTCCAACTCTTTGTTGTTGTAAATAGTACTTCAATAAACATGGGTACGATATATCTTTTTTAAAAAGACCATCACCTAGATGATTAAGGGTTCTCAGTTAAGTATATATAATAAAAATATGGAAAAGGAATTGTGGTTAACACATCTGGTTTTGAAAAATTAGAACAGAGGTTAAATGTTAAATATAATATACCAAAGAAAGTATCTCTAAGGATAAGTAAATGAAAACTAATCAGAGAGTTTATTCAATTTCTTCCTTTTTAATAGTTGAAAAATAACTGCAGCTATAATTACAAAAGTCATATGTCAAAAGCAAAACACTCTTAATTCTTTAATAGAGCCATAGCTACTCCAGAAGCCATTACTATTTTTCTTAATATCTGGCAATTCAGGCAGGATTCACTCATATTCAAATTCCACAATATATAAACTCTAAAGAATGTTATAAAATTTCACTTATTATTCACTATTACAAGAATTTCTAAATTATCAGAATTTATGGAAATTAAAAAAGCCACATTTTTTAAAAATTCACATAGGAATAATCCTAGACAGAACTTATTCTGCACTTACACTTAAGAGGCTATATTTACAAATAATCTTGGACCTAGTTCTTCAGACCTTATTTCATTTAAATTTACATACCTGTATAGACGAGTATTTGGAAGAATTTTCCATTTGATAACGCCTAAGAACTGCACTTAGTCTCTGATCTGAAATAAAGGAAAAATGCAACTTAAATTACTTATAATTAGGGATGTTTCATTTTTAAAGTCAGAAATCTGTTACCGTTGTTAGGTGTCTTTGAGTCAACCCCTGAGTGACTTAAGGCTGAGTGAGCTACGAACAACAGATGAAAACCCATGCCTGATCCTGCGCATCCTCACAATCTCTACCATACTTAAATCTACTATTGTATAGTCACTATGTCAATATATCTTGTTGACTTTCTTCCTTTCCTTCACAGACCCTCTTATTGTCCAAGTACGATGTTTTTTTTCCAAGGACTGGCCCCTCTGACAACACACTTAAAGTGTGTGATAGAATGTATCATCATCTGCCATCTCTAAGGAGTGCCTTAGCTGTACTTCGTCCAAGAGATCTGTTTGTTCTTTTGGTAGTCTATGTTGTAACCAATACGCTTTGCTAACATTCAAAGATATAAATTCATTGTTCTTCCTTATACATGACTTAATTTTCATATGCATATGAAGCAACTGAAAATACCACGGCGTGGGTCAGGCACACCTTAGTTTTTAAACAGGTATCATTGCTCTTTAGCATGTTAAAGAGGTCATTGACAGCAAATTTTCCCAATGTGACACATCTTTTGATTTCTTGACTCTTGCTACCATGACCAATAATTATGAACCCAAGTAAAATGAAATAGCTGGCAATTTCAATTTTTTAGTACGAGAATAAGCTCTATTTCCTTTCAAAATATCGGAACACTGATTACCAATGACCAGGTAAGTTCTAGTGTTGTGGGATAACATCAAAGACATCATCTACGATAAAAGCAAAAGGTCACTGCAAAGATGTGAAGAAAGAAAAGACCAAATAGATGTCAGGAAAGACCTGCAATTTCTTCTTGGACATGGAGAAACTAAATGGAAGAAATGATGAAAAAAGAAAGTAGAACAGATGATTCCAAGGAGCAGCTCAAGAAGACAAAGCCAAAAGAGAAAAGAACATGCTCAGAATTTCTCAAGCTAGAAGAACTGAGGGGGAGGGGGAGAGGCAACCTTCCAGTTGCAGCACTGAAGGATTCTAATGGAGTTGCTGTACTGAAGGAGTCTATTAGCAAAACGCTGAATGATGTAGGAGGCATATCAAAATAATATGAAAGTGTACAAAAAAGCAAGGGTCACATGTTGTTGTTGATTGCCGTTGAGTTGAGCACGACTCATAGAGGCTCTATGAACAAAAGATCTAATGCTTTTCCATAACTATCGTCATTTCTCCAAGTTCATAGAGTTTCCAGAGGCATGTAGTTTAGGAAGTGGAGGCCACTCCTGCTTCCAAAACTGTTTTATAACTGGGAGCTCCACCAAACACCATTCACATTGGGAAACCATTACAGTATTTGATATCCCAATGGCACAAGGTTCAGCATCACAGCAAATCCAGCACTTTGGCAAAGAGTGATGTACAAAGTGGAAGAATAGTCTCACTTAGCAGTGGTTAAGTGTCATCAAGTCGAATAAGACTCATAGCAACGCTTGTACAAAAGACCTAAACTCTGCTCTATAACTAACATAATTTCTGTATGTTTACAGAGTTTCCAGAAGCATCTGGTTTAGGAAGTAGATGCCCCTCCTGCTTCCCAACCACAATCAATCTGGAAGATCCTCCAAACATTGTACATGATTATGGTATTTGACACGACTATGGCACTGTGTTCAGCATGACAGCAACCCCAGGTTTTTCAGTACAGCAAACAGACAAACAATTTCTGTATCACTTAAGGAATATCCACTCTAAAATGAATAAATTTGGCCCAGAAACTTCCCTTATGTGACTGCCATCATCAAGATGCTAGAAGCCAACTCCTACAGTGGAGGCTCCAGGTCAGCCTGAAGACCCAACTTCTCACTAAGGGATTTTAAAGACACACACTTTGGCAGGCCTCCACCCTTGGTCAAAAGTTCAACTGACACCTGGGTGGGGCTGGGGGAGACAGTAGCACATAGCACACATCAAATACTACCCAGAAACTTCCCTTACATGACTGCCATCAAGTTGTGAAAGGATCACAAAGGGACAGCCATATGTATCCTATACTAACTCCACAAAGGGGAACTATCTCCAACAATATCAACATAAAATCAATTGCTATGAGACTTGGCCCCCGTGCTCTGTCCCTCTTTCTACTCATCCCTATACCAATCTTACTGTTTTACTGGGTCCAAAAATCCTCTACAGTAAGTCAGTCACAAACCATAAAGAACCATAGAGGGAAGTAAAAGGGCTCTACTTCAGGTTGGCAGCAAGATACTCTCACTCAGTCAGGAAAGCTTCCGAACTGTGCTTGTAGAAGCCTCAGGGCTCTAGGTCAGTGTTATAGAGCTCTCAGTCCCGCCAATTATGGATCTGCTCTCCACCCCCACGCCCCATTCCTCACACAAATCTGGGCAAAAGGTTTTTAGTTCTGGTTCAATGGTAGAGCAGAAGCAGGGTCTGCTCCATCTCAGGTCAGGTGTCTGGTTCTTCACTGCAGCTGCTAGGGTTGCTGCTCTCATCAGACCTATCCTGGATGGCACAAGAATCTCTGGCCCCGAAGGACACACTGCATTCTCTTGCTTTTTCTTTGCTGGTGGTGAGATTATCCAATTCTCCTGTTGGATCCACTCAATTTAATAGACTAGCTAATTCCCTTGTGGACAGGCTAACACACCCTATTCACATATTCTCACTCATCCACATGGCAAAGTCAGTCAATGGCTAGTAAACTAATGCTGAAAAATAAACTTTTAACATGATAGAAAGGACTATATAAAGTCACTGTACCAAAATGAACTGGTCAAGACTGAACCATTTCAAAAAGCATTATGTGATCAAAAACCAATGGTATTGAAGGAAGATATTAAAAATCCACCACACCGAAAGGTGGGGGGGGAAGACTCTAGGAATTCATGGAGTTTCAACTGAAGTGTTTTTAGAAACAGATGCTGCTCTGGACATGCTCACTAAGGTTATAAATTAACACTCACGGTAGCAATAGTCAAGAATCAAAAGATGTTTTACATTCAGCAAATCTGCTGTCAAAGACCTTTTCAAAGTGCTAAAAAGCAACGATGTCAGTTTAAAGACTATGGTGTGCTTCACTGAAGCCATGGTATTTTTATGTGCTTCCAATGCATCTAAAAGTTGGACAATGAATAAGGAAGACCAAAGAAGAAATGATGTTCTTGAATTGTGGTGTTGGTGAAGAGTACTGAATATACTATGGACTGACAAAACAATAAACAAATCTGTCTTGCAGGAAGCGTAACCTATGTACAGTTTAGAGATAAAGATGAAACTTCGTATCTCATTTTTCAGTATATTATCAGAAGACCAGTCTTTTAGAAAAAGACATACCTGACTCTACTAAAATATTAGTTGAGTGTGGAAGTTGCTGGTGTTTAAAATGTGGAACTCTAGTGTCCCAGTGGTAAAGTGCTGTGCTACCAAATCAATGGCACATGGTTCAAATCCACCAACTGCTTCACAGGAGAAAGATAGGCAACCAATCTCCTCCTGTGCGATTTACTGCCTCTGAAAACAAGAGGCTCGGCTATGAGTTGGTTCCAAGTTGAGAGAACATAAAAACACCCACCCTGATGTGAAAAACTGTGACATTAATTATTAGAATCAGTATCCCGTGTAATTGTCACTTGAGAAATACCAAAACAAACTGTCTAAAGTTGCTGTTTATGTACCATCAAGTCACATCTGACTCATAGATGATGCTTCAGGAAGTTGATAAAGGCAATAAATCACATGGGAAGAGGCTGCCCATCTTTCCCCTCGCAGCAGTTGGTGGATGCAAACCATGAAACTCTAGGTTAGCAGCAAAACTTCTCCTCAGTAAGCGAGTAGAGCTCATGTCTTAAGAAATGTTATCAAATAATCCAAATGGTCTACATGAAAAGAAGCAAGTAAGATAAAAATCAAAGCAAGCCAGAAACAGGTCAGAGGAAGGCAAGCCATTAATATTCGACTGAGTGTGGAGGTGATCCATCTTAAAGAGTAAACTCACATCTTTTAACCAACAAGTTAGGTACAGTCAAGAGAAAAACAGAGGACCATATGTAAAAAATCAAATTAATTCCCTAATTGTGCACTTTCATTTCAATTCTCCAAGCACTTCCTTTTTCTGAGATTTTCAACTTGGTTTGTTGAAATCTCAATTCCATTTTAAGAAATAGCTTACTGTGCTTTGACAGCCTCCTTGGTTCTCTCTGGTACTTTGATTTTAATTTTATCTAAGAATTCTGTTTGATTCATTTCCCCCAAGGCTCAAAGTTTCTTACAGCCCTGGTACTGTTCTTACTCCAGTCCAATATCTCACCATCCAATGGAATGCCATTTAGATGGTAACCAGACGTCAGCCCTTATAGAACACAGACCTTTCCAATTAAAATCTCAGAAATAATGTTAAGGTTAGTGTTATTATTATTATTGTGTCATTAATAACTACTATAGAAAATAGGTGCTGTTGTTCTTGTTGTGTACCATAGAGTCAAAACCAACCCACAGCTGGCTCTCTGCTGGATTTTCAGAGGCAGTAAATCACACAGGAGAAGACTGCCCATCTTTGGCCTGCAGAGCGGCTGGTGGTCTCAAACTGCGTATGTATGGGATTGCAGTGCTGCTTCTTGACACACTTAGTATATGCTAGACACAAGGCAAAGTGTTTCATTTGCATCATCCTACTTAATCCTATTGAAAGAATCAGTCATATGAGGCCCTTGTGTTATTATGCTCATTTTATAAAGGAAACAGCTCAGGGTACAGAGAAGCTAAACTTTTACCCAAAGTTAAATATCTTGAAAAAGATCAAGGTAGCATGGAAACTCAGGTAGGCTGAATATAGACACTGAATACTTGACCGCTGAAACTTTCTCTCTCACCTTTCCTGATACTGAAACCGAAAATTCAAGTGTCCCTACCCCGTAGCCTCAAATCCCCTATCTCCAATCTCAACATACTCTGAGTTCAC